AATAAGTAAAGACACTAAAGCTCTAAATAAGGATCTAGAGTGCTTGGGCTTAACAGACATATATAGAACACTAAACCCAAAAAAATCTGAGTATACATTTTTCTCAAGCACATTCTCCAGGATCATTCTCCAGGATCGATCACATACTGGGACACAAGACAAACATCAAAAGATACACCAAGATTGAAATCATACCAACCATCTTTTCTGACCATGAAGGCATCAAACTAGAAATAAACCATAAAAAGAAGGCAAGGAACTCTCCTACCTCAAGGAGATTGAAACCCACACTACTGAAAGACCACTGGACTAATGAGGAGATCAAAGAAGAAATTAAAAAATTCTTTGAATTGAATGACAAGGAGGACACCAATTTCCTAAACGTATGGGATGCAGCAAAAGCAGTAATAGGAGGAAAATATACAGCAATAGAGGCTCACAACAAGAAACAAGAAAGAACTCAAAGAAACAACCTAATCTTGAAGCTCAAAGAACTAGAAAAAGAACAACAAAAAAAACCCCAAAACCAGTAGAAGAAAAGAAATAATAAAAACCAAAGCAGAAATAAATGAAATCGAAACTAAAAAAAACAATCCAAAAGATCAATGAAACCAAGAGCTGGTTCTTCGAAAAAATAAATAAAATAGACAAACCCCTAGCCAGGCTCACAAAGGAAAAAAGGGAGAAAGCACAAATAAACAGGATCACAAATTAAAGAGGAGAAATCACAACGGACACAGCAGAAATCAAAAGAATAATCAGAAACTACTATGAACAGTTATATGGAAACAAGTTCAACAATCTAGAGGAGGGCCTCCCCGGTGGCGCAGCGGTTGAGCGCTGGGTTGAGAAGCTGCCCGCAGCCTCTGTGGTGCCGGTTCGATTCCCGGCTGCTCCCCGGCCACCGGAGGAGGGTCCCACATGGTGCACAGACCTCTCCTGCCGCCCGCTGCTCCCCTCAGCAGTGTACTTCGGTCCTTATGCCTGCTCTGCTCTCCTCTCTGGCTCTGGTGAATTCTCTCACCCTCCCGCGCTTCTGACTCTACCCAGTGCATGTATAAAACAAAACAAAACAAATAAATAAATAAATAAATAAATAAAAAAAACCAAAAACAAAAAAAAAAAAAAACCAATCTAGAGGAGATGGACAAATTGCTACAACTCTACAATCACGCAAAGCTAGATAAAGAAGAAATAGAACACCTAAACAGACCAATTACAAGCAGCAAAACTGAAATGGTAATCAAAAACCTTCCCAAAAACAAAAGCCTAGAACCTGATGGATTTACAAATGAATTCCACCAAATGTTCAGAAATGAATTAGTGCCTATCCTTCACAACTCTTCCAAAAAATTGAGAAGGAAGGGATAATACCAAACACATTCTATGAAGCCAACATTACACTTATACCAAAACCAAACAGGGACAACACAAAAAAGAAAACTACAGGCCAATCTCTCTAAGGAACACTGATGCAAAAATCCTCAATAAAATTTTAGCTATCAGAATCCAACAATGTATCCATAAGATAATTCACCACGACCAAGTAGGATTCATTCCAGGGACACAAGGATGGTTCAACATCCGAAAATCAATCAACGTTATCCAACACATCAACAAAAAGAAATATGAAAACCATATTATATCAATAGATGCCGAGAAAGCTTTTGACAAAGTGCAACAAACATTCATGATAAAAGCCCTTGAAATTCTTGGGATACAAGGAACACACCTCAACATCATAAAGGCCATATATGACAAGCCAACAGCCAGTATCATTCTCAATGGTGAAAAACTGAAAGCATTTCCATTAAGATCTGGAACAAGGGCCTCCCCTGTGGTGCAGCAGTTGAGTGCTGGGTTGTGAAGCTGCCTGCAGCCTCTGCAGTGCCATTTCGATCCCCAGCCACCAGTGAGGGTCCCACATGGTGCGCAGATCTCTCCTGCCGCCTGCTGCTCCCCTCAGCAGTGTACTTTGTCGGTCTGCCTGTTCTATTCCCCGCTCTAGCTCTGGTGAATTCTCTCACCCTCCCGCGCGTCTGACTGTACCCAGTGTTTGTATAAATAAATAAATAAATCTTTAAAAAAAAATACATCTGGAACAAGACAAGGATGTCCACTCTCACCACTACTTTTCAATATAATACTGGAAGTCCTAGCCAGAGCAATAAGACAAGAAAAAGACATACAAGGAATCCAAATAGGAAAAGAAGAAGTCAAACTATCACTATTTGCAGATGATATGATAATATAATAGAGAACCCCAAAAACTCCACAGAAAAACTAATTCAACTCATCAATCAGTTCAGTAAAGTGGCAGGATACAAAATCAACACGCAAAAGTCAGTAGCCTTCCTATACACAAACAATAAATCTGAAGAAGAAGAAATAAAAAAAAAACATCCCTTTTATTATTGAAACAAAAAAAATCAAATACTTGGGAATAAATCTAACAAAAGAGGTAAAGGACCTATACAAACAAAACTATAAAACACTGTTAAAATAGAAGAAGACACAAAGAAATGGAAAGACATCCCCTGCTCATGGATTGGAAGAATAAACATTATTAAAATGGCCATCCTACCAAAAGCAATATACAGATTCAATGCTATACCAATAAAAATCTCAATGCCATTCTTTAAAGAAATAGAACAAGTATTGATGAAATTCATATGGAATCACCAAAAACCCCAAATAGCCAAAGCTCTCCTGAAAAAAAAAGAAGGGAATGGAGGCATCACACTCCCAGACTTCAAACTATACTACAAAGCCATAATCATCAAAACTGCATGGTACTGGAACAAGAACAGACACACAGACCAATGGAATTGAATAGAAAATCCAGAAATAAACCCACAGATTTATGGTCAACTAGTCTTTGACAAAGGAGCAAAGAATATGCATTGGAGCAAAGAAAGTTTGTTCAATAAATGGTGCAGGGAAAACTGGGTCGCTACATGCAAAAGAATGAAGCTTGACTACTACCTAACACCATGCACAAAAACCAACACAAAATGGATTAAAGAACTAGACATAAGACCTGAAACCATAAAATACATAGAAGGAAATATAGGCAAAACACTACATGATATGCACATCAAAGACATCTTTACAGACACATCACCCAAAGCAGTGATAGTGAAGGCAAAGATCAACAGCTGGGACTACATCAAATTAAAGAGCTTCTGCACAGCAAAAGAGACAACAAAAACAAAGAGAAACCCCACCGACTAGGAGAACATTTTTGCATACAACACTAATGATAAAGGACTGATCACAAAAATCTGCAAAGAGCTGATGAGACTCAACAAAAACAAAGAAAATAATCCAGTCAAAAAATGGGCAGAAGAGCTAAAAAGAAACTTCTCTGAAGAGGAAATGCAAATGGCCAACAGGCATATGAAAAAATGTTCAACATCACTTGTAATCAGGGAAATGCTAATCAAAACTACCATGAGATACCATCTTACACCAGTGAGAATGGCACATATTAAAAAAACTAGCAACAACAAATGTTGGCGAGGGTGTGGAGAAAACGGAACTCTCCTGCACTGTTGGTGGGAGTGCAAACTGGTCCAACCACTATGGAGAGCTGTGTGGAGATTTCTGGACCTACTAAACATAGAGCTTCCATATGATCCAGCAATTCCACTCCTAGGTATTTACCCAAAGGACACAGAAACATCAATTCCAAAGAACACCTGCACCCCTATGTTTATAGCAGCACTATTTACAATAGCTAAGCTTTGGAAACAACCTAAATGCCCAAATATAGATGACTGGATCAAGAAGATGTGGTACATATACACCATGGAATATTACTCAGCATTCAAAAAAGATAAACACATGCAATTTGCAGCAACGTGGATGGAGCTGGAAGGGATCATGCGCAGTGAAATAAGCCAGAAAGAAAAAGGAAAATACCGGATGGTTTCACTCATAGCAGGAATCTAGAAAACTTAAATAAGGGACCAGGAAGAAGAATAACTATAACAAAGAAAATATCGAAATCAACAAACAACTATGAACCAGAGACACTCTATGGTGGGTGAGGGGCGGGGAAAGGAGGGATTGGGGTCAAAATAAGGGGGTTGTAATTGTATGGGGAATATAAAAATAAAATTTAAATTAAAAAAAATTCATTAATGATGCTAGTATTAGGCATGAAAAGATAATGTCCTCCCCTAGTGGGTAAAGGCGATCAAATGATACAAGCTTCCAATTATAAATATGTCAATCCTATTCAGGTTTAAACAGAAAATTCTGAAATATACTATGATCTGAACTTTGTGAACATTATTATATTTAATGAAATAAGTCCGTGATAAAGGACAAATGCTTGATGATTTCACTTACACGACAACTAAAGTAGTCACGGTCATAGAGATAAGTAGAATCATGGATGCCAGGGGCTGGTATGAGGAAGGAATAATACTTAATGGGTATAAATTTCAGTTTTGCAAGAAAAGAATTCTGGAGATAAATGGTGGTGATGATTGCAAAACAATGTCAATGTTTTTAATGTCAATAAACTGTACACACACTTACAAATGGTTAAGTAAATATTGTTGTGTATTTTAACACAATTAAAAATACTAATACATTTTTAAACTGAAAATCAACAAATCCTAGATATAGAAAGCAGACAATAAAAATAAATTTATGCAATTAAAGAGAAAGGATAATCAGAAAAGAACTAACCAGAATATTTGCAAACTAAAGGTCAAGTTCAATGTAGCAGCATTTTGTTTTTTCAGATTAGTTTATCAGAATATAGAAAAAATATAGTATTGCCTTTTGATTAAATTCTGTTTAAAATAGCACTTAATTTCTAAACCATTAAAAACAGTATATCCAATATAATTTATTGTCAAATGCATCTTATCTAGCTCATAATTTTAGAAATTAATAATCCCTCTATAATATCCTAACAGAATATTAAATCACAGTTTGAAAAATCCCCAACTACCCCTCAATAAGAATGCATACATGTCACCTACCTCTGTAGACTGTTTTCCACTATAAGACATTTTCTTGATAGCCACCACTTCATTGGTTCGCACATCTCTTGCCTAAGTAAACAAAGAAAGGACCATTATAAAATTAAAAGATTCAGTCTAGGCAATATTTGTCTGAGAATAAAGCATTTATAAGCTACATCATCTAAAAGGATATCAAAACTGCTTTTAAACCCAATAAATTTTGATATCAATGAAATGAACAATTTTCTAGGGAAACTAAATTACTAAAACTGATCTAAAGAAAACAAAAATTACTAAAACTGATCTAAAACAAAAGGTGATATAATGAATTATCTTTTTTTTTTAAAGATTTATTTATTCATACAAACACTGGGTACAGTCAAAAGCGTGGGAAGGTGAGAGAGTTCACCAGAGACAGAGAGGGGAGCAGCGAGCGAGGCAGGAGAGGTCTGCTGCACCATGTGGGGTTCTCCCTGGCCGGCAGGTAATCGAACTGTTGCTGCAGAAGCTGCGGACAGCTTCGCAGTACGGCGCTCAACCGCTGCGCCACCGGGGAGGCCCTAGAATGAATTATCTTTAATCTTCAGTGGAAGATAGTTTTACCAGGGGAGCGTTTCCATAGCGGGTGGGAGGAGTGGAAAAATAAAATCCATAAATTTTAATTCCCAAAATGTTCTCTGCTTACCTGTAAGTCCCGTGGTTTTAATCAATAGCTGAAACAGCTTTTCTAACAGTTTTATTGAAGTATAATTTATAGATCATACAATTCACCCATTTTGACATATACAATTCAATGGCTTTTAGTTTATTCACAGATGGGGCAACCAAAAAGACAATTAATTTTGGTATTCTCATTACCTCAAATAGAAACTCAAATTGTTCAATTAAAAATGGTTAAACTGGTAAATTTTATGTCTTACCACAATAAATGTTTTTCTCCATTAAAAAAGGGGGAATCCCATAGCTTTCAGCTCTCATTAGTAATTGAAATTGGAAGGTAATTATTGATTAATTATTTCCAGGACTCACTTAACACTGACTCTTTTTTTTTTAAATTCTATTTATTTATTTTTTAAAGATTTATTTATTTATTTATACAAGCACTGGGTACAGTCAGAAGCACAGGAGGGTGAGAGAATTCACCAGAGCCAGAGCAGGGAGCAGGAGAGGTCTGTGCGCCATGTGGGACCCTCCTCCGGTGGTTGGGGAGCAGCCTGGGATCGAACTGGCGCTACAGAGGCTGTGGGCAGCTTCGCAGCCCAGCACTCAACCGCTGCGCCACCGGGGAGGCCCAACACTGACTCTTTACCCCCACCCCTAATCTACTTTTTGTTTCTCTAAAGATTTATCAATTCTCAACATTTATATAAATGGACTCATACAGTATGGATCCTTGTGATTAGCTTCTTTTACTTACCATAATGTTTTCAACATTTCAACATTATCATAAGGTACTTTTCTTGTGCTTCTTAGCCACTGTATGTGTTCTTTGGAGAAATGTCAATTCAGATCCACTGCCCACTTTTTATTTTATTGTGTTATAGTTTTTTTATATATTCTAGATATAAATCCATTATCGGACATGACTTACAAATATTTTCAGTTATTCTGCAGGTTGTCTTTTCATCGTTTTGATTTACAAAAGTCTTAATTCTGATGAAGTCCAATTTATCAATTTTTCTTTTTTGAATAATATCCCATTTCATGTCTTATTTATTTATTTATTTAAAGATTTATTTATTTTTATACAGGAGCTGGGGTACAGGACAGAGGCGCGGGAGGGTGAGAGGATTCACCAGAGACAGAGCAGGAAACAGAACAGGCAGACTGGCGAAATACTGAGGGGAGCAGCAGGCTCTAAAAGGATATCAAAACTGCTTTTAAACCCAATAAATTTTGATATCAATGAAATGAACAATTTTCTAGGGAAACTAAATTGGCAGGAGATCTGCCAAGCCATGTGGGAATCTCCCTGTCCAGCCAGGAATCGAACCCATGCTGAAGGCTGCAGACAGCTTCACAGCACTGTGCTCAACCCGCCGCACCACCAGGGAAACCCCATGTGCCGCCGGGGAGGCCCCACAATTTATCAATTATTTTTTTTTTTTCTTGTTCATAGATTTGGTGTCACATCTACGAATCTTTTGTCAAACCCAACTAAGATTCTAAGAGTTTCATAGTTTTAGCTGTCACATTTGGGTCTTTGATCCACTGGGATCAAATTTTTACATGTGATAAGAGGTTCAGACGCAAATTCCACCGTTGTGCATGAAACTATACTTTTTTAAAATATGTATAGCACATTTTTTAATTAATTTTTTAAATTTCTTACATCAATGTTCATTTTTAAACAGTATTTGCTGCCCCCCACCCTCTCAGGTGCAGTCCCCATAGTTTCCTTCACCAATGCATCTGTGCACCATCACCTCAATCCCCTGTGCTCCTCCCTCCCTCCATCCCTCTGATCTCTCTCCGTCCTCCTCCCCTGCAGGATGTCTCTGATTTATAATTGTCTGTTTTTGCTTTGTTGTGTTTTGTACTGTTATTATTTTTTTACACTGATGTCTTATTTGGTTCCCCTATATTCCTGCTATAAGTGAAAACATCCAACGTTTTTCTTTTTCCTTCTGGCTTATTTCACTGAGCATAATTCCTTCTAGTTCCATCCATGTTGCTGAGAATGGCATGAGTTTATCTTTTTTGATTGCTGAATAAAATTAGTATAAGATAAAGCTTGATTTAATTGTTGGTATAGTACGTGAAATATAACATCCTGGATTAAATGCTGGAACAAAGAAAGAGACAGTGGGAGACAGGGAACAAGAAGCAAAATAATTTACATCTTGATTAGACAAGTGTTGGACAGTCGGAGTCAATCCCCATGGAGATTATCTTTGATAAAAGATTTCTTCTGGGGAATAGCTGAGTTTATAGTTTTATTTTTCAAAACTCTCATTCAGCAAGATGTGAAAAAAAGAAGAGGTTATGGAAATTTATCTGATTACAGATAGGAATGGAAAGGGCACTAGAAACACCACCACAAGAATGGGTTGGATTAGTTATCTTCCTGGCCCCAGACCTCCTCAAATGCCTGGGAAATGAGGAAGGTAAATGTCTGGTCTAAGGAGCAGACAATCAGACATACACATTCGTAACAGAAGGAGACCATCAAGGAGTAGAGGCTAACTAGGCTGGACAAGGAGGTGAACGTGTATGTCTAAATAAGAATTGCTCACAAATGAATGACACCATGCTGGAAATTCCCTGAACAGGAATTTGGCATGACTGATATTCCATAAATACATATGTTTGTCTGATCTTTCATGTATTATTTCTGAAAGTATGATTATAGTTTTAATAAGTACATACTTTTAAGCTATATAGCTTGTATCTAACAAGCTATTTGTGGAGAGAGACTTTTAAAACATTTAAACAACCTGCTTCTCACTTGTTCTCCCCAGATTTAGCAACCACTTATGATTCTAGACTCAATCTATATAGTATGATGACGACAAAATGTTGGTTTTTCCAACTCTTTATCATTCCCTTCATATTTATAACTCAGTATTTTACTTAAGAAAAAGCTGTCCTGGGGCCTCCCTGGTGGTGGAAGGGGTTAAGACGCAACCTATGAAGCTGTTCGCAGCCTTTGAAGCACAAGTTCAATCCCCAGGCCAGCCAGGGAGCAACCCACAAGGCATAGCAGACCTCTCCTGCCTCGCCCGCTGCTCCCCTCAGCAATGTACTTCATTCAGCCTGCCTGTTCTGTTTCCCACTGTCTCTGGTGAATCCTCTCACCCCCGCATCTCTGGCCTGTACTCCAGCTCTTGTATGCATAAATAAATAAATCTTAAAAAAAAAAAGTGCCCTCCTTTTCATCCATTAATCCCTCAGCTATCATGGAAATTATGGACTCCTATTTCATTGCACAGCTTATATTTTATAAAATTATGTACATATCCTTATATTGACACTCAAATTTTCTCAGATTTGGCCAGTAGGAGCCCCTTCAAGCTGGTAAGATGGTTCAGTGTTCTTTTGACAGCACCTTCCTTTTTTTGAAGCACTTTTTAATTTTCTCACACAGGATGTTCTAAGGTTTAGCTTTCATGATCCCTGACCTAGCAATAAAATGAGCCATTCCTCCAAGAAGCTCTTATTTACTAAGTGAGGATTTCAAGATCTGAATGCTAAGTGAGTTCACTGTTACTGGGCTATGATCGCAACTAGAGTCTTGCAGCAGGAAATTAGGAAATAAATATAACATATATTTAATGATATGGGGGGGTGTGAGTGTGTATGTAAAGACTGATTTAAATACCTGTAATTCCTATCTAAATCTTACCTTCCAAGTTCCATTTCTATCTCTCTTCTTTTATAGTTAGAATCCTGAATTCAAATAATGTCTGTACTATTCATTACCCAATCCTTCAACACAGTTTCAGAACTGTCATATACATACCAATATGGGAAAAAAACATCAATTAAGAATTCAAGATTTGTCTGCAGTTTCCTTCTCCTAACAGACTAAGCATATACAGATAAATAATGTACACAAAAGCTACTTACATTAGATATATTTTTTCCCCCACAGTGGTAACGTGTGAAAAACAGGTGCATTCATTGTTCATGCTTGCCTTCAATTTCAGTGACACAAGCCATCTGCACTGGTTTAATTTTAACTTTTAAATATATGATATTTATTATTCAAAGAGGTATATACTCAAACAATAATTATTCTATTCTCTATCTCTTCCACTCCATTTCCCACCACAACAGTCACTATTGTGTTGAATTGTTGGTTGCACTGGAATATAATTTTCTAATTTCATAATTATATTTAATATCTGTATATTTATTGTACATAAATCATACTCACTATAAAGTCAGTCATCTTTAAAAATACTACCAGCACATGCTGAATGGTCACATGTTAAGGATTTTTTTCAATGGGACTCTTGTATTGGGTCCATTTTAAAGATTCTATGTTTATTTTTCCTTTATACTTCTCCACATTGGTGTGTGTGGGAAGGTAAAAACTATAATACAGGAAAAAAAGGTTGCTTTTTAAACAATTGTTATCTAGCTCC